ATAGTCTTCCTACCACTCTGACCTTCCTAGGACTTCTCTTTTTTCCTGAGGAACCTGGCCTGAAGATCGCAGTTGCAAAAATTTAACTTACTTAACCCCCTGCCATAAAGTAATTGATTAATTCCAGGAAGTCTTCGGATCACTACTGTTTCAAATGTGCACGACAGTCGCTGATTTGACACAGTTGCTGAAAGCGGTAGAGACCACCTGTTTAGAAATGAGCATTCGAGTTCAATTGGGGAAATAAAAACAACTCACCCATTTAGTGTCTTCCCTTCTGTAAACCATGTTGAAAGATCATGAAGCCATAAGAAGTATATCAATTCGCCGTCCGTGATCCTCTAAGAGACCGTGCCAATAATGGAGACTAAGCTTAAAGGTCTAAGTTAAACGCACACGCTTCAATTAACGACATGAGGGCAAGCGCGTTAAAATCAACTGAACATTTGAAGAAAAAAAATCTCACTTTTTATGCCTCTAACCAATGCACTTCCCACTGAGGGTTACGCCCACAGACATTAAAACGGTGTTTTTATCGATCGACAAGTGTGTCCTGCTCACACTTCTCGATTCCGCAAAGCTGATTGGCTGCCCATGGAGTGATCACAATTCCGCTTATACCTACTCGCCTCTGACCAACAATAAGTTTTGCGTCAATCGAGTTGGGAATGAGACGATCGCCCTCAGCGCTATGAGCACAGGCCAAGAACCAGTCGAGTTGGAGGGAGATGTGTCGGCTGTGATTCCAAAGTCAGCACGATATTATCTCTATTTTGTTGCCGCTGCCTTCGTGCTTCTACTGATTCTTCTTCTGTACTTGGAAAAGGTCCTCTGTTTTCGAATTTGCCAAGGCCGTACCTGTTTCGATCCGATGCGAACTAGTAAGTGCAGTAATTGCTCAACTTTTACACTTACACTCCTGATTGGCAACTGGACATTTTATGACTAAAATATTTGCCAGCATGCGTACTCCGCAGTCGAATTTAATACCAAAATAAACTTTATACCCGGCTGGGTCCAGTCTTGGGACCTAAACCCGATAGCTCGAAACAGCTTTTTTGAAATGATTTGTAACTTGTGAGTCCCTGCAGGACATAAACGACTTCCAACGTTTCGATCCAGAAAATCGTAATTTCGCATGAAATCCAAGGATTTTTACAAGAAAACAAAAAGCCGCCTAAGTTACGTTCCCCCACAGTCTTACAACAGCAATGTAAACCTACTAATAAAAAGAAGACATTGTTGTTTATCAAGTTATATTAACTTATTTTAGTAGGCTGGAAGGCGCTCTCCAGATCCAGTATTTTATTTGTCTGACGTTTCAGAATATTATGCTTTTTAGTGAAACGGGAAATTCCGAAAAAAGTGAAAATTTGGGGTTACTAATAAAACTTGTCTTAAATGTAGAGAAAGCCTGTCAATGCTCAACAACCGAATGAATAAAGCAGAACAAGTAGCATTACGCTTGAAAATAATCAATTTTTAAACATGCTTCCATATTACGCTCAATATCATGTACTACTCTTACCAAACAGTCCGAAATTCGAGTATGTAATCCAACATGGTTTCACGAAAATTGCCAATTTTTTCTTCGCTTTTTAAATTGCCTGAGATACTTTGGACTAAGGCAACTAAATTTTCGCCTGATTGTGCCGATTGGAATGTCACAGGAGTAATATATTCGTAACCTCACATGTGGACATGTCGAAACATGGCTATTTCTGTTTTCTTGGGCGAGGGAAAGGGCATATGATCCAGCAGCGTACTCTTAATTGGATGAAAAATACATTTTAATTACATATTTATCACTAGAAAGCGGAAGAACGTTCTCTGGGACCGATATTTTATTTGCCCGACGTTTCGGACTCTCACTCGAGGCCACTTTCAAGGAATGAAAACGTACAACTCACTGCGTGATTAAATCAGCTCTGCCGGG